TATCCAAAAGTCTTAGATGGAAAAAATAGGCAGGCAAGGTTTTCATGTTTATAATTCTAGCTATTCTATAAATTCTATAAATGTTTGCCTATTTTATTTTACACACACATATAAACTAGCTAGATTTCTTCTCGGTAAAATTATCAAATCTAGGGGCTGGGAAAGTGGCTCAGTGGTAGAGTGCTTGCCTTGCATGCATGACACTCTGGTTCAATTCCTTAGCACCACATAAGCAGAAAAAATCCCGAATGGCATTGTGGCTCAAGTGGTGCTAGCTGTGAGCTGAAGAGCTGAGGGACAGCACCCAGGCTCAGAGTGCAAGTCCCACGACCGACAAAAAAAAAAAAGAGCACCAGAGATCATTAGCCAGTTCTAAAAAATATTCAAGCAGATGAAGATATGTTACATATCAATAAAGTGAATATAAGGCTGATACTGGTTTTAGGTGCTCATAAGAAAAAAGAAGGTTCTTTTTCCTGCCCATGTAATTGTAACCCCTCTGTACAGTATGTTTTCAAATAAAATAAAATAAAATAAAAAAAAAAAGAAAAAAAAAAGAAAAAAGAAGGTTCTGATTCTGTTTGCATTAAGTAATAATGAAAAAAGTTAGCTTTTTTCCATCTAGCCAAAGAGTAACAATTTATGTTATCTATAATTTTTTGTGTGTTTACATTTATTATGCCTGGCAAATTATCGTATTACCCATAAATTTCTGATTCCATTCAAAAAAGCTTACTATTTGGAAAACCCATAGTTGGTTTCATGAGGCATAATACACCATATTTTCTATTTAACAATGCTGCTGGTAAAACCAGCTGTCCAATCTTATTGTTAGTAACTACAGTACTTACAGCAAAAACGATCTGCCTGTTGACCTCCCAGTCAAGTTCAAACTATGTCATTCTGTCAATACCATCTACCTTGATTAGGCTGGGCTTATACACAACAGGTTATGATCCCACAGGGATGAAAAGCTTTCCCAAATTAAAAGCAGAATTTTAAAAGGAAATACTCATACATTCCTACACCGTTTCCATTTGATATCCTCAAGGCTGGCCCATGAAGTCAAGCTCATGTTGATTGAAAGTGAATGTTTCTTTCTGGGTGTAGCCATCTTACAAATTTAATGGCAGGAGGAAAATAATAAAATGTGTTCCACACTTCAATTAGACTTTTTATAACTTGGCACTTCAAAGATGGCAATGCCAAAGAAAAATCATTAATCCATTTTTTTTTTTTTAAAAAAAGGCATAACTGTGCAGAAGACAGACCTCCAGGAGTTGAGTGAGTGCCTGGGCAAAGTACACAGTTGCACCAAGATGATCTGTCTTTTATCTTGTCTCACTGTGAGTCTTCTCTTATGCTTCATGATATTTGGATGAAATGTATCCCGTATTTGCTTCTAAAATCCAAAGTAACACAGCCATGCTTTCAATTTTCTCCTTAGCCAAAGGAGCTGTGTACGTAACCAGGCAATAAAATGTTGGCTAGGCATGAAATGCCTATTCATGCGCATGAATGATAGATGAAAGATCACACACAGAGAACTGCAAAATACAGTCAAAGGATGCATCTTTCCAATTTGTATTTTACAACAGTATGCAGCAGACTGGTTCAAAAGGATCAAAGGCCTTTCACAACCCTAGACCAGATAGCTGTGGACACACAAATGTTGTCTGAGTGTTTTGAGTCACAAGAGAAAACGGTAGAGTGATGTACATGCACAGTGTTGTGTGGGTTTCTCTCTAAACACAGTTTGAGTGATGCAGGCAGACTCTGTCATTATTGAATGTACAAATTAGCTACCAAAGGAACATATTTCATCACTCTTCTTCCCCTGCATACCTAATATGTCAGCACCAAATCTACAACAATCCCATTCTGATTCTTTGTTGGTCCCAGGGCTGCAGTCTCAGAATTACTGATGACTGTTTCCAAACCACAATCATTGCTTCTTCCATCACTACTTCATGCTATTTAGCTTGAGCTAAGGCACCAAACTACTTCACAAACCCTTCAATCTCAAACTGATTCTCTATCTCCTTCAAGGTCTTCCTGATTTAAGCCTCCTTTTAAACACCAAATTTTGGAAAATGGAATCTGCTTCTAAATTAACCACTCCTTAATTCCTAAATTCTGATGTCTGTCACCATCACTGTAATAAAATTGTACTTTGAAATTGCCAAGCACTTCTCCCAACCTATAGGTAAATCTCATGTGATGGTTTCAAGCTTTTCTTTTCTGGACTTCTCAGCTTTCCACACTCAGATGAAGTCTCCTTCTGGAAGCTCTCCTGCTACTATCTCCCTATTCTTCCCATCTCTACCTGTCACTACTGGCATCTCTTTTGCTTCTTTTTCTACTACTAGTGGTGGTGGCAGGTTCTCTTCTTCTTTTCCATGACTTTAAATCCCAGGCCACATGAAGACTTTTTTTCTAATGTCTTATGCCAGCACTAATAATTCTTTGTTTTTCTCTTTATGGTACTAAGGTTTGAATTCAGTTTTGTACTTGCTGGGTGGGCACTCTACAACTTGAGCCATGCCTTTATCTCCTGACAACTCTTAGTATCAAACTCACATTTTCTATGGATGTTGAAAATCTTCACAAGATGGCTGCCCGCATTTCAAAGTCAAAACAGTCACCATAATCTCATTTCAACCATTCTTCTCTTGTCTTCCTTGATTCTCTTAATAGCTACCCCTTCAGTCTCAGTCACCAGGGTCAAGTCCTGGAGTTATCTTCACTCCATCTCTCTGTGCCAACTGACACACTTTCTGTCAACTTTTATTCCATAGTGCTCTTGCCTTTCTCTTCCACTGCCACCAATCTAGTTTAAAACTTCCCCATAATTCAGATGGATGCAAATGGTAGGTCCCCACATAATAATTCTGTCCATGTGGTTATCATAAGAGAAGAACCTTCCTAAGATTCAATTCTGGTTATTAGATTATGACTAAATTCAAACTTCTTAGCATAGCTCTCAAGATGGTGTCCTCCACCATCTTTTAATTTTACTTTTAGTTAGTTGTTTACATATGTTTTTATTCTTGGTCTTTCCTATCTTTCCAGCAAGCAAGCTTCCCACCTGGCATTTAGTAGAGGATAGCTTAAAGCTCCTGCACTCATGAAGTCTTACCTCACTCTCTGCATCCTAACTCCCCAGGAACTTCCACTGCTGCCACTGCTTACTTTCTTGTTGCTCATAGGACAGTGAAATTAGTGGCTTGCAAAGTTTAGCTCCCAAGCTAGTAACACCATCACAGCCTCAGATCTCATTAAAAATAAAATTTGCTGTGTCTTATCCCAGACTTATTGGATCACCAACTCTGGGATGAGCCCAGAAATTTATGTTCTAATAGCACTCTAGGTGACAGTCATACACACTAAAGTTTAAGAATCAGTGATGGAAGAGAATCTTTCCAATAAGCAGCTTTCAATAAGATAAAACATGAATGAATAATTAGCTTTTTGTCATCTTAGTGTCAAGTAATTCCTCCAAAACATTGTAAGTTAAAGAAACCTATGTTATCAGCATATTAAATCTTGTACATTTAGAAAATTACCGAAATTTTGAAATAAAAAATTCTTTTTATAAAATTCAAAATAACAAATGATAGATTATTTGGATATGCATAAATACTTGTGCAACTATCTATCATTTAAAAAGGGAGAAATGATAATCACACAATTCAAGACTAGGTTTCCATCCAATGTCTGCATGTTGGGCAAGACAAACCATGTTCAAAAAGACAAATATTGTATGTCTTCACTCATGTCAAATCAAGATCCTAAATGATAATAATAATAACAATCATAAGACAAGAACATAAGAGGGGGACTGTCACGGGAGGAAAGTCAAGTGTACAATGGTGAGGGAAAATATAACAAAACCCACTAAGTAATGTATAAAAAGGGAGAGAGGAGCCAGGCGGCGGTGGCTCACACTTGTAATCCTAGCTACTTAGGAGGCTCAGATCTGAGGATCATGGTTCAAAGCCAGCCCTAGCAAGAAAGTCCGTGACACTCTTATCTCCAGTAACTACCAGAAAACTGCAAGTGGCACTATGGCTCAAGTGGTAGAGTGCTAACCTTGAGCTCAAGAGCTGAGGGACAGCGCCCAGGCCCAGAGTTCAAGACAAAAAAAAAGAAGGAAGAGAGGTACAACAAGGATAAGGAAGAATAGAGGGTAAGTTGATGTTAAGTGAAATGAACCCTAAGATAAGGACTCAAATGTTTTTTCTTTCTTGCTATTGTTTCTAACATATTTATAAGATATTTCTTTGTTGCTTTGTATGTCCCTCCCCCACGGTATAACCCCTGCTTTCACTGTATTTGATGTTGGTACAATTTGTGGAGGGGAAGGGAAAAAACAAATTGTTTAAATAGGGATACAGGTGGGCCCATTGCAACAATGAGATGTACAAGTCATTATGTCGAAAATGAACTTTACAACTTTTGGGGGGGGAGAAAGGGAGGGAGATGGGAAGGGATGGGAAGGGGAAACAAAGGAGGAGGCAACAATGCTTGATAAGAAATGCACTCATTACCTTGCCTATGTAGTTGTAACCCCTCTGTACAGTATTTTCACACACACAAAAAAAAATAATAATAGAAGAATGAACCTGATTAAAGTAATTGCACAAATCTGTAGAGATATTACAACGAAATTTCTTTGGCCAAGTTTAATGTATGGGTAATAGAAAAAAAGAAAAGGTTCTATCCAAGAAAAAAGAAGCCAGTCAGGATGAAGATAGAACATATTCATAGATCCAAATCATCAGGACTATCTAGGGTCCTCAGCTGGCCAGTATGTTTTCAGATATTCACAATGCTACTGAAAACAATTAATTAAAGTCATGTATGGACCAATGCTGACCAAAGAATTGTTAATCTAATTGTAAGTGCTCTTTTAAAAGACATGAAACAGAATTAGGACATGTCACAGTTCTACCCCTAGTCTCATTATTAACACCAGTAATGACAGATGCTAGTTGTACCTGTGTACGGTTGAATGCCACTCTCGCAAAAACAGCTTGAGACACGCTGGCCCTTTTGAGCTCATCTCTGACTTGCTGGTAGATATCTGGAGAGACTTCCACGGAGGAGTTGGTTGGCTCTGGTTTAACTGCTCTGGGAATGGGTGGATGGTTCAAGAACTGCTGGTTGATGGCTTGAGGATGCTGGTGAGCCAGGAGCCGGCTAACGGCAATCTGTTGGTTTATCAGATGGGCCATGGCTATTTGTTGCCTAACAAGTTGTGGACTAAGCTGGGGAGAAAGAAGACCAGGGCTCATGATGGGCTGTAATGCGGGCACTTGGTTTCGGATTGGAGTACTGTGGTGGATTTGGCTATGAGGAGACTGTTCGTTGGTTTTCCCCAGAGTGGCCAGCTGGTTCATATTTGGTAAATGCATTGGACGCTGGCCCAGAACACAATAGTCTGAAAGGTTCTCTCGCTCCACTCTTTCCACTGTTGAGAAAACAAAATGATAGTTCATAATTATTTTCATTGTTACAATTATATTATTGTTAATGTATGGAATACTGAATTGTTGTATTTTGGTATATTCGTGACAGGTTATTTTCATACAAAGCTGGAAGTCCCAGAGTGAAAGTGAGTTATTCTTTCCCATAAAATGTCCTAACTATTGTTTTCATAAGAGATACAAAAATAAAAATATTTGACACTTCAGCTTGTTTAAATGTTTTATGAGTATATGCTGGCACTGGGAAGTTGAACTCAGCCTCTTGCTCAGCTGGTCATACTGGGGTGGCACTTTACCACTTTAGCCAGGCCTCCAGTCTCAAGGACATTTCTGCCTAGACCCCACATCTCACTCTTCTGAGAAGCAAGAATTACAGGCATTAGCACTGACACCCAGCTCAACTTGTTTAGAACTTTAAAAGTAATCATTTCATTGAATGACCAGTACAAAAAACACAAGCATCACAAATTCCAAAGTCCTCAACATCTCAAACTGCAACATCTCTCTTCCTTATCATCCTTCATCATAAAAATTCCAGCTGTTTTTTTTCTTTTGGCTGAGGTGTAGTTCATGATCTCTGAGAAACAACAGGGACAACATCTCCTAGTACATTAAGTTTTGTAACAAAAAAGCTCTCATAAATACTATTATATAATTCTACACATGGTCATAGGAACGTTTATCATATAGTATATGCACTTATCTTCTTGTTTGCTACCTTTTATATAGGGATGTTTGTCTAAGAACTGGGTGTGTGAATATCTGCTATGTATGGAAATAAGGAAAAAACTCACAAGATTAATAACATCATCTAGACTTGTTATTATACGAGATTATCCCACTCTCCAGACTATCTATTATATTTTCTTATATTTTACTAAAGATTTACAGAGTAATCTTGAAAGGAAGAAGAAAAAAAAAAAAGGATATTAGCTGGGAGCCAGTGGCTCAGGCCTGTAATGCTACTAACTCAAGGCTGAGATCTGAAGATCCTGGTTTGAAGGCAGCACTGGCATTAAAGTCCATGAGACTCCAATCAACTACCAAAATGCTAGAAGTGGAGCTGTGGCTCGAGTGGTAGAGTGCTAGCCTTAGATAAAAGAGTTCAAGGGTAGCACCCAGGTCCTGAGTTCAAGCCCAGGACCAGAACTCACACATGCACAAAAACACACAAACACTAACCCCCCCCCCACACACACAAGCATATCATGGATGTACAAATGTAAAGCAATGGGGTTTTTTCCTCCAAGATTATTTCTCAGGAAAAAAAGTTACTTTCTAGTTAAGTGCTAATCAAAGCTTTGTATTAATTGTGTAAGCGAAGTTTTGTTTCGAGAAACATACTATACTAAAATTATTCTATTAGTACTAGTTTTAAATGCTTAAAGGTGTAACCTAACAAAATCAGTGTTTGAAATATCCATGCAGACTTACTAATTATTTCTAAAATAGGCATCAAATATAATTATGCAAGTCTGTTACAGATAACTTAAGAGAGCAGGGTTTCATAATTCACACCTGTAATCCCAGCATTTGGGAGGTTAAATCAAGAGGATTGAGAATTCAAGACCAGCCAGGGTTACACATAACAAAGTGGTTACTTGTTAGATCAAAAGTGTTTACTTGCAGGACAAATGTTACTTGTAGTCTGACATACAGTTTACAGTGACAGAATCATATTTGTATTAAAAGAAAATTATGACACTCAAAAGCTTTAAAAAAAACGTTGAGTGCTAGAAAACTGAGTGAGATGGCTGAGTGCTGAAACTTCCTACCATAATGGTGTAAGAAGTATTTATAAATCACTATCTATGCAACACATGATTTTTAAATACACATGTGGAAGGAAATTAGTACGTTAAGAATGCAGATAGATTATTTAATCGTAAGTCTAAAAGCTTTATATACTTAAAACTTCTCCTTTGAAGAAACAGTTGAAAACCTGTATCTTGTATAATATATAAATATAATATTGTGCTATTGTGAATTATATTTAGATAGGCACAGAACTCTTTTCTCCTTTTTGAAAGAGTCAAAATTTTGCTTAACTTTCCTATGAACTCCAAAATAAGTCAAAAGTTTACTTTAACGTTCTTTAAGAGTTCAATTTTTAACTTAATCCTTTCTATGTAATTCATTTTGTTTATATGTCACCTTTCCTACATCAAGTTCAAGGTAAACAAATTATTGTAATCTTCCCCTCTAAAGGCACACATTTTCCAATCACTGTATTAATTAAACTTTAAAGTACATAGTCTTAAACCCAAACCAAGTAAATGGCTAAGAGACTTCAGATAAGGTAATCTAATACAGTTTCCATTGAACAGGAATTACTATTGTAATTTCCTTATTGAAAGAAGATGTAAAGAAACCATGAACTGCTTCCAGATTAAAGTCAAACTAGACAGAAACACATGGTTTTCAGTAAACATTTGACTTACTTATTTGTTTGTTTGTTGTTAATTCTAAGGGAAGATGAACTCAAATCAGATACTTTATAAGCAGGCTTTATCTACATTTTTCTATAAGAGAACTACTCTCTGACCAAAAGCTAATTTTTCCATCTTTTCAATATTTTTACTTTTTAAGGACTTACACTTGAGTGCACTTACTTTCTTGATATACAGACAAATAGATATGGATTTAGAAATCACATCATTAAAAGGCCCATTCATAGATGTACTCATAATTATATATATAATTAAATGTAAATGTGAGAGTTCCATAAAGCCTATGTGAGTTCGTATAGTAAGGGTCAGAATAATACCAGTCTATATCCTTAGGCTTATATATAATAATTACTATCTCTGAATTTGAAGTTCATTATAAATTCACAGTTACAGGTTGACTCACTGTAACAATGAGATGTACAAGATACTATGTTGAAATGAACTTTCCAAGTTCAGGGTGGGGGGGTGGGGAGGGAGAAGTTGGGGAGATGGGGAGGGAAGGGATGGTAGGGGAAAAACAAAGGAGGAGGTAACAATGCTCCATAAGAAATATACTCATTACCTCACTCATGTAACTGTAACCCCTCTGTACAGTATTTTTACAATAAAAAAAAATACAAAAAAAAGAACGGTGACTAAAAGTGCCCTTGGAGACATGTGATTGCACCTGAGAGGTAAGCCATTTTATGAACCTTAATGACCAGGTACACATGGAAATGCACACCCACCCAGGCAGTTAACAGCCAGAGAAGCCACCTGCAGAGGTCCCAGGTGGAGGGAGCAAAGCCTGACAGGGCCACAGGGCAAACCGCGACCTTGGCCTTGCCAATTTCCTTTTTCTTGCATTGTCCTTCCTTCCAAGTTTGACTAAAAAGTCTCCATTTTTACATGGTATTTCCTACTGTTCACATGTTGGCAGCTAACTGGAAATACAATAAAAGTCAAACAAAACATTTCTGATAACAAAATTCTACCCGTGGGCTTCCAGTGTGTAAACCTTGCCTGAGAGATCAAAAGTACCTTTAGGTTTTTCATTCCCTGGCAGCTCTATCAGTAAAAGCAGGATCTTGTGCCTGGCATTGGTGGCTCATGCCTGTAATCCTAGTTACTCAGGAGGCTGAGATTGTGATTCAAAGCCAGCCCAGGGATGCCAGAAAGTCCATGAGCTTATCTCCAATTAATCATCAAAAAGCTGGAAGTGGAGCTGTAGCTCAACTGGTAGAGCACTAGTCTTGAGTGAAAAAGCTCAAAACACTGGCAGGTTCCTGAGTTCAATCCCCATGACTGGCACAAAAAGAAAAAGAAAGAAAAAGCAGGTTCTTTACTTCTAAACATAAAGGAAAAAAAAAGTATTATTCAAGTTTTAAGAATGCCTGAAAATCAATTGCTCATCAGTAGACTGACTCTTTCCTTTCCAAGGCTACATATTATTTCAGTAGTGATTTGTATTATTTTCTGCCTAATTTGAAAGCCTTTTTCATTTATTTCTGGCCACCACTCTTATAAAAAGAACATGAGAAAGATATTGTCAGCCTATTAAGTCACAGCAGGTGGGGTACAAATTTAAGAACCAAAATGGGTATAAAAGGGAGAGAAAGGGAGAAAGAAAAGAGAGAGGAAGGAAGGAGAAATTAAAGAAGGAAGAAGGAAAAAGCAAGAAGGGAGGGAGAAAAGGAGGCCTGAAAGGAGGGAGGGTAGAAAGGTAAGAGTTAGAATGTACCAAACTGTACCTGAAAACAGACTGGATACCTGTTACTTCTTTTCCTGTCTTTCATCCCTTTCTTCCTCCCTTTCTATTTCTTTCTCTTTCTTTTCTGTTCTCTTTTTCCCTCTGTCACTCTGTTTTCCTTCCTTCTTTCTAAATAGTTCAAAAGTAATCACAATGGCTGACACACAGACCTAACAGAAGTGCCTGGTTTTGTTTCTTTAACTACATTACCAGGGTTTGAATCCTAGCACTACAGCTTGGTAGATATATAACCTTGACAGGGTACTTGATTTCTCCATGAAGGGAGATATACTGAGTGAGTAAATATATGTCAACACACACACACACACACACACACACACACACACACACACACACACACACACACACACACAGTATGCAGGTCGGTGCTGTCAGATAAAGTATGATTTGGCCTCATCACTAGATCACATCAGAAATTCAGCAGCTCAAATCAGAAACTCATAGGGTTCTAGCTCTTTTTTGTTGTTCTTTCGGGTTTTTTTTGGGGGGGGGTTCATTAATGGGGGCTGAACCATGGGTCTGGTCACTGTCCCTCAGCTCTTCAGCTCAAGGCTAGCACCCTACTACTTGAGCTACAGCGCCACTTCCGGCTTTTTTCTGCTTATGTGGTGCTGAGGAATCGAACCCAGGGCCTCATGCATGCAAGGCAAACGCTCTACCACTGAGCCACCTTCCCAGCCCCAGGGTTCTAATTCTTACAAACACTAAAGCTTGAAAATCAAGCCAGCTGTGAGCAAGAAAGCTAAGTAAGCACATAAGATCCTGAGTTCTAGCCCAGTATCAG